AATGCCTTTTATCTCTAGATGTTTTGCCTCCTTCTCAGACTTTTGATTGTGTATTCATTGAAAGTTACTGCGTTTCTCTCTGGAACAAAGGAAGAGCTCTTTGCCTTCACATAACTCACCCTTTGTTTCATAGGGAAATATCAACGAGGAAACTGGAAAATTGTGGCTTCGGTCATTCTTGTTGGATTTCATATAGGAGAAAAATCTACCTTTCCCCATTGAAGGTACAAATTTAATCTGTGTCCAGTGCCATACAGACCAAAGGGAAATCCGCAATCTTCTCTAAAGCAGGATTCTCCTGTCCAACACTCCTTATGCTGGAAGAAGATTGGAATCTTCCCTGCCCATTCATCCTTGCATTTTTCCTTCCTCTTCTCCTCTGTATTGCAATATGATGCCTCACCTTTCTTACAGTTCAGAGCAAAGTCACATGGCTTCTTTGTTAAACAGCTTTAGAGTTCCTGTGCTAAGGAGCAGGAGGGAAGCACTGGACTGGTAAGGCTTCCACCTGAACCCTGAAGATTCAATAGCTAGTACTGTGATTGCAGAGCCTGGATGTGGATGCTGGATCTCCCACTTCGTTTTCCAGTGTTGCATCATTTGAATTGTTGCAACCATGCAATACTATCCTCCTTCTACTGAGGATAATGGCAAAATGTCCACTGTTAGGTGTGTTTGCTAACATGGCAATACTGATGGGTCCCTAGGGCTGTGATGTTTCACAAACACCCACAACACCTCCCGGTCAAACATGTTAAAAGGGGGACAATTCCCTAATATTTGCGATATAGAGTTAGCAAGCTGTAAAGTTTGGTTTAAAATATAAGTAGCAGAAAATTAAAAGATTTTTTTCCGTTTTCTGTACTTTTCTTTTGTCCTAGCTGGTAAACTGGAAACACCAAGACAGTTGGCTAGAAATCATCTGAGAGGCAGCCTGCAGTGTTCCATAAATAACCAATCCAAAAATACGCACTTTTTAGGTTTTTGGCAAAAGGAAAAAGAGGGATGCAAAATTTCCCCTTAAGGCTGGAATTTTCAAAGGAGTTAGGTACCACAACACCAATACGGTTCACGCCTGATTATTCTCTGTATTAAAAGATTTTGCCTGAATATATTTATGGTTTCAGAGTAGCAGCCGTGTTAGTCTGTATCCGCAAAAAGAACAGGAGTACTTGTGGCACCTTAGAGACTAACAAATTTATTAGAGCATAAGCTTTCGTGGACTACCGCCCACGATATGCATCCAAAGAAGTGGGCTGTAGTCCATGAAAGCTTATGCTCTAATAAATTTGTTAGTCTCTAAGGTGCCACAAGTACTCTTATATTTATGGTGGTATTCAAAGACATCATTAGTCAGCATCATTTCTGTAACTCAATATACTTCTTAATCGGTTATGGAGAAATAAACTAAACACCATACAGATAGAAAAGCCCAGGGGACTTGTCTATAAATCGATAACCTTCACCAGGTCTGAACCACGTATCAATGAACAAGACCAAGCCAAGCGTTTGCCATCCTACAATACTAATTCATAATGCCCAGCTCTTATATAGAGCTTTTCATCCATAGGCCTCAGAGTGCTTTGGAAAAGAGATCAGTATTATCATCTCCCTTTTATAAATGGGGAAACCAAGGCACAGAGCTGTGCAGTGACTAACCCAGGATCACCCAGCGAGCCTCAAATGGGCATTATTTTGTTTAAATCCAATTAAAACTGGAAGTAGCAGCATGAACCCAAAAATAGTGTAGTGAGGATTCCACACATGACTACACCATTTTCCACCACGCCAGGATTATTATTATTAAATATTTATATTATAGTAGTACCCAAAGGCCCCCAACTGGGCTGGGGGCCCTACTGTGCTTGGGGCATGTACAAATACAGAAATGAGGCAACTCCTGCCCTGAAGAGTTTAAAGGCTAAAGACTCTAAACACACAACCAGACAAAGGCTGGACACAACATACAAATAAATGAGCATGGGTCTGAAATGGTACAGCTTAGTTAGTCAGGTATATTGTATTTTGTTTTAATTGGCGCAAGGCATAAGTACCAACCTTCTAACAGACACTCAATAAATGAGAGGCTGTGAAGGGAAACTCACCCATTAACATAATGATAACGGGGAGGGGGGGAGGGAGAAGAACAAGTATGTGTAACTGAGGCTTGATCTACACTACTGACTTATGTTGGTATAATACATCGCTCGGGGTGTGGAAAATCCCCCCTCCCCAAGCAACGTAGTAAGACCAACCTGACCTCCAGTGTAGACAGAAGAGCTTCTCCTACCGACACAGCCACATACTCTGACAGGAGACGCTCTCCTGTTGGCATAGGTAGCTTCTTCATTAAGCATTACAGCGGGACTGTACGTGTAGACAAGCCCTTAGTCACAGTGCAGAAGAGAGTAACTTGTGGGAAGAGTTTATAGGACAGAGTAGTTAAAGTGAGGAAACCAATTCACATCCATCACATTTCCGCACACTTTTCCAGTGCTTTTATTGTCATCATAAAGCCCTATGCTCCCCTCCACTTCTGTGGGTGAAGGAGACACTGAGCCCAGCTGAGGAACATGGAAAGGAGGAGTATTGCCTCTGTAGCACATTTTCTCCATCCCACAAGATGACAGGTCTCTGTGTGGAGAGAGGATGGGCTGGGATGACACTACAGTGCTGGTCATATGTGGAGCGTTTGCCCCCCTAAGCTGAGTAGTAAACCTTCATAAGCTACTGCAGATGGGGTTCTGGTGGTCAGGGGACAACAACTTGCTGGGTGTGGGGAACAATGCAGAGACAATGGGCAAAGATCCAACAGCATCCATGTGGATTTCTAGGTATCTATGGCTTTTGAGATCCAACTTTCACAGGTGCTATCCAGACAGCAGGCCAGCCTACAGGCGCGCTCACGCAGTAGTCAGCACCCGTGAACTGCATTGATTTCCAGAGAGAATGGCAGTGATTTTTCAGAGCTCTCTGTGTAGAGGCAGCCTGAGCACAGATTCACCCTGCTTGACTTTAACCAGTGCCAACAGTGTCTCCTTGGAATGCCACCAAATTCTCCACAAATGTTTGTAAAATAAGGCAAGTGGTTCCAAAAACCCTATCGTCCTTAGTTCTTCTCCCTTAGCATATTCCTCTTGTTCATTCTCTGTGAGACAGAACATAAGAAGTGAAGGATAGGCACAAGGTAAGAGGAAAGGTTTGCAACACAAAGAATGCAGAATGAATTCTGAGGCTTTCATATGTCTGTACTAGATTCTAATAACCAACCTCTAAATCAAGTCATAGCAATTAGTTTTGGATGCTTATTTATTATTAGCTCTCTGCGGTAAGCCAGCCAGCATCGTGGGACTGCTACAAACAAAAAGGCATGGCTAATGCAGGGGTGGCATTAGTAAAATACTATACACAAGAGACAACACCAGCAAAATATGTGGTTACTGTGCAAACGGTAGGACAGGCATGGGGAGGCAGTGTTAGGCTTCTTGAAGTAATCAATGTAGGAACATTACAGAGGGATCTCTGATAAGATAACACAGAATTAAGTGAGAGAACATTAGTACAGTACAGCACAGACACTTTGAGGAACTGGCTCAGTGCCAGCTGTTGTCAAGGGATGAAATATGTTTTAAGATGAGATTTGAAGAGATGGAGAGATAAGGTGAAGAGATACAAAAAGGATATTCCATGCAGCCAGTGGGACTTGCAGAAGAAGGCTCTTGCACCAACAGTAATAAGGGTGGAGGAAGAGAAAGGAAGACACTGCCAGATGAGTAGAAGAATGGGGAGCACAGAAAGATGAAGACCATGAGGAAGGCTGCACCATGAATGGTAATTATATGCAAGGTTTAGAAATGGCTTATTCTACACTGTTTCCGAGTTTAAGACACTGTAAGTTAAACAAATTTATTTTCCCTTTCCCATTCATTCTTGCACAAACAGTTACTTTTATCTCTCTGCCTTCCCAACATACTGACTCCGCTTATTTTATGTTCAGTCTCCTTTGTTGTTTTCCAGTCAAACTGGTGGGTCATTCAAGAATCAATTTCATGAGCTGGTTGGGAACAGAGTGATCAAAAGAAAATAAGCCTTGAGGAATGGGTGTCATTTACTCCTTTCTTCCAAAAAGGCCTTTGGGCCCAATCCTGCACCCAGTGATGTCAGGGGAAAGTTGCTTGAAGTTTTCTGAACCACTTACAAAAAATTAATAATTTTAGAGATTAAAAAAATGCAATTAGAAATAACAGATGTGGCAACGTATTTATAAAGCTTCCTTCTGAAATACTAATGTAAGTGGGTTACAGAGATTGTTTAGCTATATAATATAGTTTAATTCATATGTTTTTTCTTATCTTGTTTGCAGAGAAGAGAGTCTATAACTCACAAGAATCCCAATGGATCAGCTGTTCAAATATCAATGGAAGCTTCTTCAGAAATATAAAGATCTGAATTTATGGAGCAAAGTAATTATATCTAAAACGGTGTCATCAATTTGATAACAACTGAGACAAAAATCATTATTTTAGAACGTTGGGGCAGAAGCAAATTAATGAAACCTTTAACTCAGTCCAAGCAATCTCCACATGGCTGGAACTAATGTTCTATGAGACACAACTTTGTGCAATTACCTTCCAAAGTTAATGGAGTGAATGAAATTGGAATTGTGTTTACATAGGTTAGACAGTGGCAATTGGAGCTGCTCAGCATCTCTCAGGACCAAGCCCTTAAATCTCTACATTTTATCTCAACCGTTATGTAGTTTAGTTGGCACAGGCACTGGCAAAACAATGGGTGGGATTGTATTCCTCAGGTAGCTGCATTCCCCTGGGGAATGAAGCATTTTAAAAAAATACTGAAAAGTGGTTCTCTGCTGTGCCCTCCTTCTCTCCCCCTCCCCCTCCCCCCCCCCCCCCACCTTGGGTAACTCAGACAGCTGAACCGATTGCTCAGAATTTCCAAAATAAGATACATTTCCCCTTTGGGGGGTCAGGCCCTGCAGGTAAAGAGTCAGCCCCAAAAGGATTAATTTCTTTTCAATGACAAGCAACCCAGAACAGAGAGTTAGAATCCAGGCCCAGCTCCTATGCTGGTGCCAGCACAGGGCTCTGCCCTTGTGGAGCCACTTGCAGGACTGGTCCCAACTGTGGGACTTTAGGTGAGTCACTCGGTTTGATGTGGAAGGAGTCAATGGGAGCTGCCAGTGTTCGCTACCTCCCCTATTCCTCCGTGCCTCGATTTCCCTACCTATGAGATAGTGATAATATTTTCCTGACAGTGCAGCGGGTGGGAAGGGAGTCACCAGGCTGAATTCGCTGATGTCTGTCAAGCTGTTGATCCTCGGCACAGGCGGCTTATTGGCCGCAGTTAGGCGGTGCTCAGAGACGACGGTGATGGGCGCATTTAACCATATACCGAGCAGATCCGGGGGTAGGGGCTCCCCGCGGAGTCTCCGCGCAGGCTGCACAAGCCCCGGCCGCAGGGTGCCACCCACACGGTGCGATGCGCGCTGCTCATGCTGCGGCCAAACCCTTCCGCTGCCAAGCGCAGCCCTGGAGGCTGGGGACCGCGCCAAGCCCTGCGGCTCGTGGCCTCCGCTCCGCGGCGTGAACAGCGGGCAGGACCCGCCCCCCGCGGGCCGGAGCCAGCGCTCCCCGGGGCAGGCACAGGGGGCGCCGCAGGGGTCACACCCAGGTGCGTCTCGCCTACAAATCCCAGACACCTCCGCTCACGGTCCCTCCGCCACCCCAGCGGGGAGCGGCTGCCGAGCAGAGTCGCGCCCGCGGAGGCAGCGCTGCCAGGTGCAGGGCATGGCCGCGCCGGAGCCGGAGCCGAGCCGGGCGGCCCTGCTGGGCTTCCTGCGGGAGCACGGCGGGCAGGTGCGGAGCGCGGAGCTGCGGGACCGCTTCAAGCCGCTGCTGGAGGCCGGCGAGCCCGGGGAGCGAGCCGCCCGCCGCGAGCGCTTCAAGGCGCTGGTGAACAGCGTGGCCGTGGTGAAGGAGCTGGACGGGGCCAAGTTCGTGGTGCTGCGGAAGAAGCTCCGAGCCCAGGCTGCGGGGGAGCCGGGCGCGGGAGCGCAGCCCCCCGAGGCGCCTCCGGAGGGCGCTGGGCAGAGCGGGGCAGGCGGGCAGGGGCCGCCCCCTGCCCCGCCGGCAGCCGAGGACTGGGAGAGCCGGTCCCCGAAGCCTGTGTCCGAGCTGAGGGGGCTGTTCCAGAGCCAGGACGGCGAGACGCCTGGGCCCCCCCCGGGGATGGCTGGGCCCCCCAGGAGAGAGGCCCCCCAGAAGCCCTGCATGTTGCCAGTGCGCTGCCCGCAGCCGGCTAGAGGGATTGAGGAGCTGCCAAGGCAGCAGGAGCAGCTTGAGGACAGAGCCAGGCTGCAAGTGGGGACCCTGCTGGACGTCCCTGAGCCGGCCTCCCCCAGATCCCCGCACATGAAGAGGCGGCAGGTGGACGAGGCGGGTGCCAGGTCGCCCCACCTGCGAAGGGTGTCAAAGACTCAGAAGGTGAGCGAAGAAACCGGCTGCACTGCTGCTGTGCCCCTGGAATCTCTGGAGCACGAATGGCTGGTGAAAGCCACCGCCGGCCAGTGGTCCCAGCGGCTTCATGGCCTCTTGCTGAGCGATGCCAGTCTGGCAGGGAAAAGGGACTTCATGTCCGGGTTCACAGCTCTGCACTGGGCAGCTAAGAGTGGGAACTGTGACATGGTGGGGAAGATCATTGAAGTAGCCAAAAAAGGTGGCACTAAAATTGATGTGAATGCCAAGTCCTACGGAGGTTACACTCCCCTCCACATCGCTGCAATACATGGCCGAGAAGATGTCATTACCACATTGGTCAAGACATATAATGTCAAGGTTAATCTGAGAGACTACAGTGGGAAAAAGCCACACCACTATTTAAAGGAAGGGTCCTCTTATGCAGTCAGGCATCTGCTGGGTGATCCTGATCTTCACAACAGTGTTGGACATGCCTTTCCAATCAAGAAAAATCCCAAAATTGCTGCTTCCATCTTGAGCTCCACCAGCACCTTCCTTGGAGTCTTATCTGATGACATTCCCTTCTATGATCTAAGCAGGGGTTTGAAGAAGACTTCTTCCTTAAATAAGCTCCTTAATGCATCTGCAGGCTCAAGGAAGAAGCCTAAGACTAGGGGGACTTTCCCCTCTTATTCTTCTCTTGTTGAAGCAGTGGAGGAAGAGCAAGAGGAAGAGGCCACAGTGAAACACAGACCAGTTTCTGAGCTGTTCTTCAGTCACTAGTCTCTGTCTTCTTGAAATCAAAGTAATGCAAATAATGTATAGAAGTTTTCTTGGGCCCAGATCCGCATGGATATTAGGCTCCTAACTCCCATAGTAATCAATGAGAGTTAGGTGCCTAAATACCTTTGAGGATCTAAGCCCTGGTTGTCTTTCACAGAAGCAGTCTGTTTCTCCCCCCCCCCCACCCCCACCCACCCCTCCTCCCCAAGCTGTTTAACGGTCAACTATATAGGGTCTGATTTCAAAACTCATTGAAGTCAATGGCAGTCTTTCCATTGATTTCAACAAAGCTGGATCAGGCCCACAGAAAACAAGATTCTCTTACAAATACTGTACCTACCTATGTACTGGTGTGTTAATTTAATCCACAAAGACTCCCTAACTCTGTGCCTAATGGCTGTAATATTTTTCAAAAAAATACGGTGTGGACAGGTTACAATGCTTAACATACAATCTTCTTAATCTACACATTCCTCCAGTGAGTTTGTAATTCTTTGAGGTGGAAAATAGGAATAGGGTAAGGGATTGTTGCATATTTTATTTACACCTTGATTTTAAGATAGATCTAACCTACTGTACTTTAAAATGGCTTTTTATCTTACAGGTTTAAATAATAAGTTAAATAATAAGGAAGATGGATAATTCTGTATGACGTTTCCAATTAATTTGGTAACAAATAGATAATGACAAGGAAAATCTGTTTGTTTTTTAAAAGATTATTTAGTACTCTAACTTTTTAAAAACAAACTTCTCTGCTAGAAATGCTAACTAGCAACTATTCCAATTGTTGTCTAATGTATTTTACTATGTGTAGAATACAAAACCATTTATGCAATGAGAAAAAGCAACCCTAGCCAATCGAAACACTAACCTGTCTACCTCAATTTAAATGCTAGATTACCATTGTTGACTTCAACATTTTTTTAGAACTTTCTGACCACAAAACAAATAGTACCAACCAGCTATTTTGATAATACTGTGAACTTTTAAGTGTGACGGTAATTTAACAAATGCACCTTTAAAAGAATCTAACAGACTTTTAAAATGTATGATAGTGGGACATTCAGGTGAAAAACTAACAGGGAAATTTTCCTCAGACTATAGATTTTTATATATGGATAGCCAACTGGAAATACAAGTTTAGGTGACTATTTTTGTGTTGCTTGTCCTATAAATGTTAAGTATTGTGTTTGACCCAATTACAATAAAGAGTTATAAAACCAAGGTTTAATGATGTTAGGTATTTCATAACAAAATGCCTGCATGACCTCTACTAAAACAATGTGTATCTGAACAGTGTGTTCCTCTTGCCTCTTCTTTCTGTCTGGATGTTCACACAGTTCAACATAATTCCAAAGAGCATGTGAATTTTGTGTTTAGTGCCATGTGATATTTCCAATGAGTGTATTAAAGTTGGTTAAAAGTAAAACTAACCTAAATAAAATGTCTTGATGGGTCTGGTTCTGTGTATACAATCATGCATTTTGACTTGGCCTACAGAGGAGGATCAATCTAAGTTAAGCAACTTCAGCTACGTGAATAACGTAGCTGAAGTCGATGTACTTAGATCTACTTACCATGGTGTCTTCACTACGGTGAGTCGACTGCTGACACTCCCCCGTCGACTCTGCCTGCGCCTCTCGCTGAGCTAGAGTACAGGAGTTGACGGGAGAGCACTCGGGGATCGATTTATCGTGTCTAGACTAGATGCGATAAATTGATCCCCACTGGCTGCCCACCGATCCAGCCGGTAGTGAAGACATACCCTCAGTTTCAAAGTTTATGGTGAACCTAAAGGACCAATTAGTCGCCTCTGTTAAGTCCCTTTGATGATTTGTATTTATGTAGTACTTTTTCCTCAGCACATTTCAAGGCTCTTTGCTACAGTAGGTAGATATTATCCTATATTATAAATGGAGGGGAAGATATTCAGCAGGTGTAAATTGGCTTAGGTCCACTGATTTTGGAGTGATGTGGAGTCATACCAGCTGAGGAGCTGGCCCAGCGTAACAAGCACAGTGAGGTCAGCTGACTTGCCTAAGAGCAGAGATAGTTAAGGGGCAGAGTTGGGAACAGAATCCAGGTTTGACTCCTGTGACCAGTTTACTGAACCACAATAATTTTCTCTTTAAAAATGGAAGCTATTTGAAAACCGGCATACAGCTCAACCATACGAGGACAAAGCTGATAGTATAATTATGTTTGCTCTGCTTGTTAAATCCCCATTAGGTGGTCAAGTTTCTGAAGTGCCACACTACTTGCACGCTCTGAAATTCTTTGCAAGTCAGTAACTTTTGGAATGTTTTTGATTTCAGCCTTGAATTAAACCCAATACTTCCTCTTTCTGTCTGCATAACCGGCTTTGTTGAAACATTCCACAAACGGTACTGCACTGCCAGTGCGACTGGAAAAGGCATCTTGCTCTCCTCCCCACCTCCTTTTGTCCTCATTAAAAATACTACATGGAGTGGCCACAGTCATCCCAAGTGGAACTCTTGATTCCAGGGATAGCTTTGGCCCTGTTTATCTCAGAAGATAATGGGTTGTTCTGGAGGGGCCCTGCTCATGTATTGAGCTAATCAAGCAGGTAAGCAAATGTTAATGACCAAGCACCTCATGATTTCTATATTTGGCATTGGTAGAGTAAAAATAAAATAAAATACAGCCAATTGGTTCTGTAGCTGATGATGTCAACATGATCAATATGATAGATACACTAACCTTGGCATAGTGCAAATGCAAATCAAACCCTCGTCACTCCAGAAGAAAAACCCATGCAATTAATACAGCATGACCCTATAGGAATTTCTTAAGATTCACTTGTAGATCATCTGACAGTATACACCTCGTTCTGTTCCTTCAGCCTAAATGGGCATACTACAAAGCCTGAGATATTGCAGCCATGTTGCAAAGTAAAGGCACTTTAGCTAGTAAAAATATTCAGTGGCTACATCCAGGAAAACTATCACTTGAGTGACTCAGCCCTTTATCATTCTGAGGCTATGTGATAAAATATGGATATGCTCAATCCATGTTCATATTTTATATTGGAATCTATTGTACTGTTTTTGAGAAAGTGTCCTTTCATGTTCTGCAGATAAAAAGCATACTTGCAGTAAGTGTTTCTTGGAACAACAAACTGTGGCTATATCTTTAGTGCAAAAAAAAGGAAAAGGGTGTGTGTGGTTTTTTACATCAACATAGCTGTCTTGATGTAAAATCCAAGTGGAGACAAAGCACCCCAAGTGGAGGCTATAGAGTTGATCTTGACTATCTACATCTAGGTAAAAGCCACCCGTGCCTTGTCTCCACTAGGATTTTACATTGACTGAGCTAGTTCAGAGTAAAAAAAAAAAGCTTTATTTTTGCAGTGAAGACAAAGCCTGTGTGTCATTATTATAATTCATTTGGACCATGTTCAAGGGTGTGTTAAGCACCTTGCAAAACAAACAGGGAAGAGTTTGCAATCTATAAAATAGATGGGTGCGGCTGACCATTAACAAGTTTATATGGTGACTCAGTTCATGCCCACCTTCTTAGTAAACAATTTTTTAAAAAACATAATTACCCAGGCACTCGTTAGTGTTCCCCATACCATTTGACTTCCACAAGTGCAAACAATACTCAGAGGTAATAAGAATGAATCCATTGTAATTCTGTGGAAATGAATTCTAGTGAACTATAACTTGAATTCAAACCAATGGCTCTATTGTTCTGCATTTCTTTTTCATTTGCTACAGTTGTGATTGAAAAGGAGACATAGTATTTAATTCCCAACCAATCAGAAAGGCACATTTCTTGGCAATGATCAAGGTTATGTCAGTTTAATTCTTCTATTTGGGGACTGAATCTTGCCCTTTGAAGTTACAAGCAGATGGATTTTATAGCTCTCCATTATTTCAAATTACTCTGGGGTCAAATTTAACAACCCCTATTTAGGCAAAATCCCCAATGAACTCAATAGGAGTTTCACCTGAATGAATGACTGCGAGATTTGGTCCTTGATGCTTTAATAAATGCATCATAATACAGCACATACTGCACAATAAGGGAAGGTGGGTAGCTGGCTATCCCCTAGTATCTGATGATACAATTAATTACATATTGATATCCTCACTGTAAATATAAATCAGAATCTAGCGTAACATTTTATAAACGTAGTCACATTGAGCTGATTTACCCAAATTCTACAAGATCTATAGTGCAACACCCACATCAGGTGAGTTAAAACTAGATTATATTTTAGTTGAATTGTACTCAAGGTCAGAAAGAAGTAACATTTGGCCTATGTTGCTTAGTTTGTCTCTCCCCCCCCCCCCCCAACATAGATATTTTAGCCTTTTCCAAAGAATCCCAGTAGCTCAGAAAGTCAGTGCTCAGATAGGACACTGAGAGGTGCTATTATGAAAAAATAAAATAAACAAACCCAGAAGATAGAGAGCTCCACCCAATAGTAACTACCCAGAGTTAGACTAGACTTTGGCCTCCAAGACAAGCTGTGTGATAGCAACACAATGACATGCTCCCAGTGTCAGGTCCCTAATGACCTTTTGTGGGATGCTGAACATCCCTCTCAAAACCAGGATGGTTCTCTGTAAATCTCGAGAGCTTGCCTTGAAAAAGAACCTCTTAAGGAAGATTTTAGCTTCAGGCTAGTGATGAACTAGAAGAAATAGAGTCTCAGCTCTGGTATCATTTCACAAGGCATTTAGGCTAAACATTTTTTAAAGTGTCTCCCTTTAGGGTGTCTCCTTTTTTAAAAAAAACACGCTGACCTTGAAACACACAAGGCCAGATTTGGAGAGTTGCTGGATCCCCCACATCTCTAGCTGGATTCAGTGGGAGCTGCAGGTGGGAACCCGGAAAGAGTGGACCCTTCTGAAAATGGTGACCTTAACCTGTCTGCCTTTGTTTCCCCATCGGTCAAGTGGGGTAATCCCTGACTCACAAAGGCATTGAGGGAGGAGCGAGTACTTTTTAGTCAAATGCTAATCACTGTTATTGAACTATTTCTTTACCAAGTGCGTTTAGATACGGTACGGTACAAACATAACATGAGTAAGAACCTCCTCCCTGTCCTGCCCATTACTTGCTCTTCTCCTCTCCTTCCTGCTCTGCATACTGCCACCCTGGGACCTACATTCCCTTGCCTTCTGATTTACATATGAATCAAAGTAAAACTGCATCATGACAGTTATTGATGTTTCCAGTGATTTGTGCTAATGAAGAAATCTCCAAATTAAGATTGCACTAGCATGCCTTTGGCACTGATGCAGTTTAGGCACAAAGAGCATGTTGTTTGTTTAAGGGGGGGAAATAGAGCACATGTTCTGTACCATACTGAGGAACATTCATTTGCTATTAGTTCATTAATGATAAAAAAAATCTGAGGCAAAATCCGAGTGCACCTTGTGTTGGGGGCTGCTGCAGAGACAGCATGTTAGTTAATGTTTGTACATCACTGGAAAATGCCATTATATAATGGCTGGGTATCATTATTCATCCCCAGCAGGGGGAGCTAGAGTCACGTGTTCCTCAAAATGATACCCATTACCCTTTAAAGGGCAGCAGTGCCTGGCTGCGAAGGGACCACAGTCCTTGGCGGGGTAACTGCAAATGTGGGGTTTTGAGTGTGGCATGAAATCTGAGGGAGGAAGGGAGCAAATCGTTGGGAGGTCTGGCAAATAAGCCAAGCCTTCCATGACATCCTGGGGGATTCCTATCCCTTTCTCTCACTCCCTCTGTATGACCTTCCTGTCCTGGTCCTGGATGTGGGGGCAGTTAAGGCTGAAGTGGGCCCAGACCCACCACGCATTTCTGGAAGGGTCCTCCCCACACTCATCCTGCTTGGTTTCCTCTACTTCCCTCTTCACACAATGATTCCTCTCAGCCTAAACTTCCATCCTGGCTCCCCAAACAGCAGAGGGGAGTAAAAAAAACAAGAAGACTGAGCAAGATTTCCACCACCGATGCTCTAAACCACCTCCCTTGTTGCTTTAATCAGTTACAGGTCAGCTATCAACCAGCAGTGAAAGCGTTTACAACAGTGACATTTTAAATGGTCATCACTAGACTTCAGCTTCTCCAGCCCCTTGAGACGAACGGGGGCAGCCCACAACATTCAGCTCTCTTGTTTCTGTCAGTCTGCAGACTCAGGCAGACTTCACTGCATTGATTTACACAGGCTAGAGACTTATGAAAGCCTGGATACTGGAACACAAGATGGCAACTTCTGGGGGGAAAGAGCTGCTTTGCTGAGCTACCACAAACCAGCCCACCAGTCAGTACCTGCCTGTACCCTGAATGGAGTAGGGATAAGCTTGGAGATGGGCAGTCCCTAAGATCAGTCCGTGCCTCTTGGACTGTACTGGAGCTACTCTCTGGCTGTGTGCAGTGTTCAGAGAGGTGACGTTAGCTGGGCAGAACACAGTGGTTTACGTTCCA